TTTAGACTATAGCTCATATTGGATCCCGCTGCAGGATCTTGATGGGGTGAAGTTGCCAAGCTCCATGGTTGTGCTGGTTAGGCCGGTTAGGCATTGGAAGCCGCACAAGTTGCACGGAGTCAAAGCAAAGCCTGTTTCCGAGGAAGACATTCACGCCTTCAAAAGTAAAAGAGCCAGGAACGCATCTTAACCCTGCACCCGAAGAGCTCCAAATCTTCAGCAAGGCCATGCAAAACGATCTCATTAAACTTCAAACCCTAAATCTCAAACACTCTCAGGAAAAGCTTCAAAGATGTTCGAACCTTTACAAGCCCAGCCTTCAACCTGAAACCTCCGAAGGAGATGGAGGAGCGCAACGCGAAACTCCTCCAGACACTCTCCGACGCCACGGACATGTCTCTTGCCCATGCTTGGAAAGGGGGTCTGCGCCTTTGGTATAGTTGCTGTTCATTTGCCGTTGCTAGGTGTATGTAGGGTTCCTCATGTTGTTTGTGCGTGTGCGTATCGGGTACCCATTTGGGAAGACCAGGAGTAGAAACCAAGGTCCATGTAATCCCCGCAATGACCCCAAATAGCGGTCCCAACGACCCGCACCCCCATTCCCCAGTGCCCTACAACCTACACCCTACACCCAACAATAACCCTAGTAGCGGTCCCTATGACCCCACACCCCCAACTAAGCATCAGTCAGGTTGGCAGAGGCTGACGAGATGCAAGCCGCCGGGACTCAAAATGTGACGAGATCCATCAACGGCTGTTATGTAGTTTCTTTTTGAGCTTGTTGTGTTTATTGGTATGTGATAACCTATTCTTCCCCAGAAGAAACTACATAGGGGGTCTTGGGTAGGGGTTTTCGGGTACGTACATGAATGCTGTATCCCCGTTGGATTTGCTGCTGAACTTACTTTCTACAGTTCTGTAGGGGTTGTTAAGGGACAGCAGAAGAGGACCTGATGGGGCACCTGTATGCGGTAGTGCTTTGTGCCGGGCATGTCAGAAATCCCATGTTTCAGAGATGCTTAGTATCCCGTTGTTGGCGCGCTGGGCTGTGATCAGGTCCAATACACAGCCGAGATCAAGGAGGCCCGCGAGAAGGCCGCAAAGGAGCACAATTCGGGTTTGCCAGTGCAAGTGTTGGCTGACCTTCGTGGCTCAAGAGTCACGCATGCTTCAGTTGCAGTTTGTACCTTGGGGGTTCCAACTGCTCATGCCGCGACACTGCAAAACACGCTTGAGAATATCTACCGCAAGGGTTGCGTTGTAAGCCATGTAAGCACTTGAATCTTCATGGCCTCCCTTTTGCGAAGCTACTTCTCAAGTCGTCCTGCGAGTCCTGCTGTTTCGGAGAGAGGAGCTGGCCTCTGCACGAGAAAAGACGGAGGCAGCGATCAAGGCGGAAATGATGACCAGGGAGGATTTCTTGAAGTTTGGAAGGGCCCTGTGCCTTGCGATCTCACTGTAGCTCTTGAGTACTCTGAATGTAAATTGGGCTTTAGAATCCCCCGGGAGAGGCTAAGTCCAGGCTAATTCAGGGTCCAGGGTCTCCGCAACGTTGTCCCTAAACCTTAAGCCCTAAACCCTGAATATTCCCAATGGTATGTTGGGCTGAGGCTTCCCCAGCGCTGCAGAAAGCTGAGCCTCCAGAGCTTTTCAACTTGACTTTGAGCTTCAGAGATGTATGGGTTGGGTCATTCAACCACTCAGTAACTGTCCTTAAAGGGGGCCTTATTAAGGGGATACTATAATTCCTATTACCCCTTGTGGTAACTATTACTGTAAGGGGGAATAGCCCAATGTATGGGAATCCAAGCCCGTGGGTAGATTAGGGTTTTGAGCAAAATATGGGGTTCCCTTTCCCTGACTTATTTCATACTGTTGAGGAGCTCCTATGTTATTACGGCTTTGCTGTTCTGGTTAGAGAGTGGGGCAGGAAGAAATCATGCCAGGGCGTAGAAAAATGCAGTGCGGATGTCCAAACAAGGGATACCCTTGCATGAGTGCCATATGAGTGCTAGTAAAACCATACAAGGCATGTATCATGTGCCAAAACATTGTCAAACTGAACGCTGGAACTACCAGCACGAAGAAGAAATTTTGACTTGAGCCCACCCTATAAAAGCCCCTTTAAAGGTACCCCTAGTTTTGCGAAACCCCATTTAACCCGTATATAACCCCCATTTGCTTTCATTCAAGGGAACTTCCTGCATGATGGGACTCCTACAAGGGATAATGGAAAAGAAAATGGAAACTACTATATGGGGTTTAGGGCTTAGGGTGCAGGGTTTGGGGTGTGTGCGAGCCCAGATGCAAGAAGAGTTTAGGGTTTAGGGTAGCATGCATCCTCGGAAGCAGCTGAAACTATGACGGCTGCACAATCGTGGGGCAAAATCCTTCACATCTACATAATCCTTACAGAATCCCTATCCTATATAACCCAATTTAATCGCTATATAACTCAATATCATGGGGCAACATGCCTACATAACCCTTACATACTCGCTATATAGCCCAATATCATCCCGTTAGAACCTCTTGGAGGCCTCCATGACAACGGCCAGCTCCGCGAGGGAGAAGAAGGCTGCCGACTTCCGCGCGAAACTTCAGGCCGGCGGAACTTAATAAGGGATCTATAGGGGTTAAGGGTTTTAGGGTTTAGGGATCTAAAGGGATTTAGGGCGTTAGGAGTTTTAGGATTTAGGTTGGATCTCTACTCGGATGTCCTGGGGCTTGGTCATAGGGGTTATATATTATTACCTTAGTCAGCCTTAATGTGTACGCTTTGAACTCGATTGTTGCTTTCCGTGCTGCGACAATGCTTTGCATTGAGCAGTCAGCGACTTGATGGTCCATGCGGGGTAACTATATATACCTTGGTAGTGGGGAGTCAAATGAGCTATAGTCTAAACTCCTTAAACGGGCTTAGAAAAGGAAATGCAAAGGGAGTGAGTAGGATAGGGGTTACTACGGGAGATACTAGGAGTTTAGACTGTGCCTCGAATGCAACAGAAGATGGAGATTAAAGTGAAAGCTGGGTTGAGACACGGGCTTAAAGGTTTTTGGTAACCCCCCAAAGAGAATGGACCCTGTAGTTATCATACGTTGACTACAGTAAGGTCGTCGTTGTCGGGTTTGGGGTTGACAAAGTGTTCTTGTTGACATAGGGTTTGGGGGCTGATTTTTTTTTTTATCTCATTTGTAATTTCGAAAACGGTGGAGCCATCAGGAAGGTACAAGCCTCAATACCCTAAACCCTAAACCCAAACCGTAGACCGTACCTCAAACCATAATACGCTAATACCAAACCAGGTTTCAGGATTAGTCGGGATTAGACAGGCGGATTTAGGGGTTTATGGGGGTCGCTTTGGCATTTGGGGTTTGGGGCTTTTTGGCGTTGCAGAAAAAATTTTAGACTTCCGGGAAACGGGATCAAAGCCGCCGACGGCAAGCCCACACGCATTGGGAGGGGTGCCTTGGGCCAACACCTGCAGCTCATCCTATCTTCAGCCTTTTACTTCATTTGGGGGGTTTCCATAGTAAGCATCAGATTTCTTTTGGGAAATGCAAAAGGGTGCTTTCCTTGCTTGAAGAAAACTCACTAAGAGCTTTGGGCTCAAAGGTGTTCAGGGTCGATTCGCATGATGTTTGTTTTGTATTCTGGCTCCCCTTGCAGCCTTCAACAACTCAACTTCATGAGTTCTCTCCTTCGTCTTACACATTGAAGCAGGTTAGAGTCTAGGGTCCCTCCACTCCGTCTTACAAAAAAGGCTTGAGAGTTTAAACTTAGCATACCATGAAGGCCCGAGAGGCGGGTGAAAACCAACAAACTCGAGTCCTGGTGTCTGGATTGGGGTTTAAAGGTGTAGGGTTTAGGGTATCCAGCCTTCAATGGGAGCATGAATTCGAGCGAGATGTACGATCTTGCTAGTATCATAGAGTACACTGTTAGACCCTAAACCTTGTCTGTCAGGAGGAGATGGATGAGAAGATCAAGGGCGCCGAAAGCACCATCCAGGATTAAGAGCTTTAAAATGAAGTCGGTGCCAGTTCGCTCTTATACTTCGGGATATGGCAGTTCCCGTAAATACAAGGATTCCAATTTAGACCACAAAATACTGTGATCTGTATTATAGGGACCCCCAATCAAGTACACCTAATGATGGGAAACCCTGAAACCTATACAATCCCTTCTCTCCCCTTTAAAGGTACCCCTACCTTTGGGAAACCCTATCTCCCGTATATTCCTATCAAGACCCTGTATCCACTTTCAAGGTAACCATACTTTTGGGAAACCCTTCAACCCCTTCAACCCTAAACCCTCTGCATATACCATGGGACATAGGTTCGGATTGGTAGTAGGCTTGGGCCAGCCCGTTTCCCAACATGAGGGGCATCTTTGAGGGGGATATGCGGATGATATAGGGGTTATAGAAAAACACTACACAAAGTTTAGAGAATCTAATGAACAAGAAAATGGACCACGAAATGGAAACTGGGATTACACTGGGGTTTGTAGTGGTTAGAGGTTTCCCAGAACTAGGGGCTTGTTTGGAGTCCGTTTAATCAGGATGATAGTACTCTGGGTAAGGGTCCCCTTAACGGAACCTGCCCCCTAGATATGTGTAGTGTAACCCTTGCCGGAGGCTGATTTTATACTTCTGGCTTTGCTGGGTTGGCAGCGTGTTGTTGAGGTTTCTTGTGATGGGGGGCCCTGAGAGACCCTAGGCCCTAGGGGATTGCAACATATGGAATGACTTACTGGGGGTAAGTAGGGAACATGGGAAGCTCATTCCTATGATCCCTATAGATCTTCGCTTATCTTCCCGTATTCCCCTACTACCCCCCAGTAAGATGACGGGTTTGTATGCGGATTCGATCGGAGTGATTCAAAGAAACTGCCCCTCAAGCGTGAGAGAAGGAATTGCAGCAGTAGCATAGGCATCCCGAAACGAGTTATCATGAACATAATGTCATTATGCCAGCCACACTGTTTAGGCCCCCAGCCCATTGTGGAATCAAGGTCTCGCTCGGAATTCCGCTTAGTGTCACACACGCACAAAGATCCCACACTGACATGATTGGCTGTCAGCATTACTGTTGCTATCGACACCTGGTCCTTCCACCGTAAGGAAGCCGACGGCCACTTGCGGCTCCTCCTGCTGCACCATCTAAATATTGCCATATGTTGTGTTCTCTTTGTTTTGCAGTTACTCTGACTCATGATATTTTCAAGGAGGGTTTTTCGTCTTGAGAGAAACCTCACTGGTGGTTGGCAAGAAAAGGGATTGGACAGTGGCTCTCAGACGCTCTGTTACTCCCTACTCTAAGAACACAATCACCTCCCCCTAGTAATAGCCCCCATCCCCCCTAATGATTGGAGCAACTTAAACCCTAAACCCTAAGCCCGAGGGGGTTAAGCGAAAGGAGCGCAAGGCCGCTTTCGTGAAGCAGACGCTTGCGGGCGTCGGCCTGTAAATCACAATGCAGCTGTGGCCTGGCGTCGGGTTTAGGGTTTAGGGTGGAGGGTTTGATGTTGGCGTCTTCTGATTGTCCCCCCACACACCAATGCAGTAATTGTAGTATAGGAGTAATACAGCGAGATAAACACAGAATGGAACAAATCAATACTTCTGATTGTTCGCTTTTTTCCCTGTGGTCGCGGGAAGCCTTTCGGACTTCACATTTCTTGCTCCTTGTACCTTCAGTTGGGTATGCATAAAGTAGGAACTCCTTGTGGTGGTGCCAATGACAAGACTAGTTGCATACACTATTGTGAGGGGCCAATGAGGGGTCACGTTGTTCATGGACACGTTACGTTGTTCATGGAAACCCCCTGTTAGAGGGAGAAACAAGAATCTGTGCTCGTTGTCCGAGCATGGGGGAAGATTTGGCCAGGTTTGGGAGCATACGCTACACGGCTTGTAGTTTTAGCTGGCCTGACTAATTGCAATAATCTCACCCCACATGGAAGTTCTTGTTTCCCGAATCAGCTGAATCTCACCAAATTCCTGGGGTTAAGGGTTTCAGGAGATTGCTAAAGCTGTCAGTCTTAGAACACTGGAGCCTCACCTGCATCTCTTGCTTGCTGTTTGTCAGTAAAGAAATGAAACCCTGTAGTAGCACCTGTATAACCCCCAAGAAACAGCAGCTCCCATGTGCTTTTCCATTCCTCCACACCTTGATAGCAACCAGTAAGCTTATGCACCAGGTGCCGGCAACGTATCAAGTCTGAGGGGGCACTACATGCGACAGTGAGATTTTTGGGTTGGGGCTCGTTCCCCACCTGGCTCCTCAAGGAGGCTGTATATCCCAATAATGGAGAATCAAATGGAAAAGAAAATGGAAAATGAAATGGAAACTGGGATTAAGGGTTAGTTTAGAGGGATTAGGGGTTATTATGAGCTATAGTCTATGGAGCATTTCTCCCCTTTCAAAAGGAACCAAGTGGTGCAAGCGGCGGAAAATAAAGTGCTGCGTGCATTCGTTTACCAGGGCTGGTGAGCCACCTGAGATGAAATTGAGATTGTGATGAAGCTGTGTGCAACTGTAGCATTCGTGCAATGTGCTGCTTGCGTTTGGCGGTAGCCTCGAGCCTACTGATTGGGTTGCTTTTGCTATGTGCTTGAAGACGTAACCTTTCAAGCAAGAAGATCTACAGGTATGCTTACAACACAATTGGGCAAGAATTGCTTCTACCAGCGGATTTCTTGGCTGTGCAGGGCCAGCGCCTGCTATGCATATCACAGGCACCTATCTCTACATAATTGCAACCCTGGATTGCGACGGCAGTCCACTGCTTGCTAGCTTTAGAATGAATTTTACTGTAATGACGAAGTTTGATCATCAGCCAACAACTGCCAACTTGTGGCTCATTCAGGGCGGGTATAGGAACTGCATTGCCCAAGCGAATTGTCCTAGGGCCGCGTCCATCATTTCCTGGATAGGAAAATTGTATTTTGCCCGCAGCATGCTGGCTCGGACCGCTGAAGCTGTAAGTCTTGAGCACAATATTGAAAGGCCTTGTACTCCCTCATTCTATGAGCGGTGCACTCATCTAGTTCAGCAATTTCGTAGGTTGTGCTCGAAATACACCTGCTTTTCCTGCTGCTGATTGCTGCTCACATAGATTGCTGGCCTAGCGCAGACAAGAAGTCATTGCAGTTGGGACAAAAGGCTATTTCTAGGAGAGAAGTGACATGGCGTTTATGCAGGTAGGGGCCCGCCTTCCATACTCTCGAACCTTTTCTTCATCATATATGTCTTTATACCAAATTCTAAGAAACTAGACCCGCTTCTGCAAAAAGAGATGCTGCCACAGCGCCTCGGCGAAGTGAGAGTTCTGTCGAAAAGCACGTGCGCAACGCCGCTTGCAGCGCTTCGTGAAGGTGCCTGTGTCCCAACTCTGAAAGAGTGAATGACTAGTCGAAGTCGAACATTTGTTTTAGTTTTGATTTTAGTAAAGCCCCAAAGCCCATAAGGAATGCACAAGCTTGATTTTCAACCATACTGCAGCGTGGAACCAGATGATGCATTTGGGGGTCCCTCAAATAATTGAGGGATATTGAGGGCTTTGTAGGGTTGGTCTGGACACATGAGAGACTGCCGCATTTATTCATGATGTCTCAACCCTAAACCATAAACCCTCGAACCCCCAGGTGATAAGCCTACAGTGCCTAGTTTCTATCTTCGCTCCGATGTGGAATGCCTCTCCTTGTCTGCGGAGTGTGGGATTGTGGGGGATCAGCGTGCCGTTCCCAGCCATCAGACCCGGCAACGGGACATTCTGTTTGCAGATCCTGTTTTGCTGCGAGAAGTTGGCAGCATTCATACTAATAAGTCTTTGCAGAGCGGCACTCAAGACAAGCCATGCAACATCGGGCAAAACGTGACGCTGGCAGAGGGAGATGTGCCTGTCTCAACCTGGTGCGTTGGGGATATGATCGAAATTGGCTCTCCTGACAACGCCGCCCTGGTTCGCATCACCAGCACGCGGCGCCCCTGCCCGAAGAACAACAACGTTCATGGTGAGGGGACGGGTGCTCACATGGACAAGCGTGGCTTGGGAGGTATCTTTGGCACTGTGGTTCGCGATGGCACCATCCGCCCGGGAGACGCAGTGATGCTGGTGGAGCGACTGCAGAGCCAATGGACATGTGCGCAGGTGCACATTTCACTTTATGGTCCCGCAGCGCAGAGCACCACTCCTCAGGAGCCGCGGGTAGCAGTTGCAGGTGTCTCAATTTTTTTGACCAAGTCATAGTCCATGATCGATGATCCCTTGCCAGGAGCTGCAGGAAATCGTTGCCCTGGAGTACTTGGAGGGACCCCGCTACAAGAGCGTTGCTCAGAAGCGCTTGAAGGAGTTAGAGGCTTTAGCTGCCAGCAGCCGATGGCAGTGGGAAGCTTTCGCACTTCTGGCTGTTTCCCTTGTAGCAATGCAAGTTTTCCGGCGCTGGAATGTTGGTGCAAGGTAGCCAGGCTTGCCTCAAGACCTTGGAGCAGCAGGTGGCGTGATCTTCTTGGGAATGCGTAAACAAAGTTCGAAACGTTAACAACGAAAAGGGCAGTCATGGCTCTGTATGTTTTACTGCTGCTGGAGTCTTACCGTAAACTGCCCGCTCAGTCGCCCTGCTGTTGCAAAAGCAGATGCCTTGCATAACTAGTGACTAGTGCTCCACTAGCGAGACCCCAAGTCTTTCTGGGTGTAGATGCCGTTAGGGGTTGACATTTCGAAGCGAAAACTCTGAATCCGCTTGATGGCCTGCAGCTCTCATGTAAGCGCCTCCCTGTTCACCTTTTTCTTGGATCGAGATTCCGTGCGCCGCAAAAAGATGGACATGTACCGTGGTCTCAGCGGCAGCAAGTAGTATGCCACATTTCACTTGTAATTACTCAAGTTTCATAACTTGACGCAGTTTGGTCCAATCTTGACCCGCACACTCTCCCGCAGTGGGGCTGCAGGATACATCGGCATGAGTGGGATCAAGTTCCAGCACCTGGTCCTGAGCCCGAAGCTATATAAAGCACGTTGCGCTTTGAATGTCAACTCTAAGCCTAAGGCTCAAAATAACCCAAAGGCCTAGTATAGTATGGTCTTTGGGCCCAAAAGCCTTATATTATGAGTCCTTAGAGCCTTAGGGTAACCCTAAACCCTACAACCCTTGTAAACCGCCGGGGGTTCTTGAGACAAGGCGGGTCGGTGGGCGGAGTATACATGCTTGGATTAGGGAAGCCGTGGCTCTGCGAACTGGGAGTTTCCCAAAATTAGGGGTACATTTTTTGGGGTCCCCATAATAAGGATTATAGTATTTTGGGGTCTATGTTGGGGTCCCCCTATTTTGAGAAACTACCAACTATTAGGGTTTTAGGGTTTCCGGTTTATATCTGCAGTTTCAGCCAGGTAGTTGAAAGAGGAGGGGATCTTACGCACCCCTGCACCCCCAGCACGTATGAGCCATAGTCATTGTCTAAATTCCTAGTATCTCCCTTAATACACCCTAAAATGGTCCTCTATATGAACCCCTATTTGTATAACCACCTTTAAGCAGTTTAGACTGTTTAGACTACAGGTCATTTTCAGCCTTGTGGCTTTAGGATGTCCTGGGCTTCAGATCGGGCCTTTTCTGTAGGGTTTAGGTTTTGGGTCTGGGGATCTTGCCTATGGCAGGGCAATTCCCAGGTGTTTTTTTTCATAGAATGAACTCTATAGCTAGAGTCGCAAATTCACCAGTCGCACCCATGTTTTGAGACCTTTCCATATCCTCCTGTAACACTGTAGAGTGCCTGCAAAACATGTCCTTCCAATAATCGCGATGGCGTTCCTGATAGCATATACTAGCATATACAACCCACGCCTCTTCCCCTTCCTTTAATAGGACAAATCCTGCATCCTGAACATACTGTACCTCAACACATGGGTTTATACTGGTATACTGCACCTTTTTTTTCCGGAAACCCGAACCCCTCAACCCTAAACCCTAGGCTGCAGCCCTGCTTTCCAAGGCCTTCCAGCACCTGACGTAATGAGACTGCAGCTGCGTCGAAGTAAAACTCAAAGCCCAGCGATGAGGGTCTGTTGTCAGGGATGCAATAGCTAGGGTTATGGGTATCAGGCTCAAAATGTTGTCAAACTTGTGAAGCTCCAACCAGGTGCCCCCACAATCGGATCAAGAGTGTAGGTGAGCAGCAAAAAAAAGCGGTGCCTCTTCCATATGCCTGTCGTCCCTGTTTGGTAGATAGAATATGGCTTTTGGGTGTATTATAACAAGATCCCCAGATGTTCCATATTCTATCTACTTAAGGGGGATTATACTTTTTTCATTCTCAGAATTGGGACTCCGGCAGAGGGATCTCTAGTTTCTGGAATCGCCACTTAAAAATGCCCTGACGTGTAATCCACTCCCCCTATTAAACCCCCCAACCCTTCTAATAATACACCCCCTCCTTTTTTCACTCTTATATATATGTATGTGAGACCAGGAATAGTTGTTATTCGTGGGTGGGTGGCTTATTCCTAGGGGGAGGTAATTGATTTGGACATCTGATCAAACACGCCTGTCTTCTATAAGAGCCAGAGGTATTACCATGACAGGATATATTTTACAGTGACAGGTTCTCATTTTACAACGATTTCTGAGCTTCTTCTCCACAACAGATCACAATAGGGCTTAACAGGGCTTGGGAGCCGTAGATTTGGTGCTATTAGCCCTGAAAAACACCGAAAACATGGCTCCCAAGCCTGTTCGCAGCAGAAACAAGGCCCGGGGCTTGTTGCGGAAGAGTTTGGCGGGAGCCGCATTTTTGGGCTGTTTAGGGCCCAACAGGGCCAAAAATACGGCTCCCGTCAATTTCGCGGCGCCCTTATGGCACCACAAAAACCAGGCCCCGGAGAGAGGTTTTTTTGGTGTCCAGGAGCAAGGCCTGGGAAGCGTATTTTTGGTCCTATTAGTGTTTTTGGTCCTATTAAGCTTTAAATGGACCAAAAAGACGGCCGTATGTTTGGTCCTATTAAACCTTTAAGGGGCCAAAAATGCGGCTTCCGCGGGAGCCGCATTTTTGGTCCTATTAGGCTTTAGATGGGCCAAGAAGACGGCTCCCGCGGGAGCCGTATTTTTGGTCCTATTAAGCCTCCCGCGGGAGCCGCATTTTTGGTCCCATTAAGCCTTAAATGGGCCAAAAGACGGCTCCCGCGGAAACCGCATTTTTGGTCCTATGAAGCCCGCGGCAGCCGCATTTTTGGTCCTATTAGGGCTTAAATGGACCAAAAACACGGCTCCCGCACAATCGAATTGTTGGTCCTATCAAGCCTCAAATGGGCCAAAAATACGGCTCCCTAGGCCTGATAGCACCGAAAACTCGGCTTCGCGCATGAAACTGCACCCCTCAGCCCTTGTCATGCCTAGAATTGCGAAACCAATCGTGGTAAAATGGTTTTGTGTTGTGGAAACAGAGTGCCTCTCTAATCGTGGTTATACCCCCTCCTTTCTTCTATAAACGCCAAACCATCCGGATTCTCAGCACGGTGCTTACACCTAGCATTAACTGTGTCATCCGCCGTATAAGGAATGGTCGGAATGTTCAATACTGGAATTTTATACGGGGATTTCAATTTGAGGGAGGGGGGGGGGCAGTGGTCATTCAGGAAGCGGGTTCATTGATTAATCAGGGGTCTACACGACTCGAAGAGCTCGCGCCTGCATGTTCCCGAAAAGCTTGCCAAAAGAGCCCACCATATGACATACATCTCCCAATGTGAAATTCTTTATGGGCTTGAAGATGTTAGGTTTGGGTGGATGTTTAACTTTAACTGAGCAAGTCAGCATTCTTGATCCAAGGACCATCTAAGCTCTTTGAGTGATTGTGCTGCCTCCAGCCACCCCTGTCCTTTGCATTTTGAAGAATGCTAAATCGATCCTAAACCTTAACCCCTAAAACCTAAAACCCTAAACCCTAAATCCTAAACCTTAAGCCCTGAACGTTAAACTGAAGAACTGTGCCACGGCCATGAAGACATCAGTTTTTTTCTCAAAAGCAGCTGCCCCGGCCTAAAAGAAATGGCGGTTTCCCAAAATTAGGGTTCCTTTTTTGGGGCTACCAAGAAGGATTGTAGTATTCTGGGGTCTACATTGTTAGGGAAATTACCAAATCAGAGCACCCACAAGATTGAGAAACCTTCGCATTTGTTGGCCGGTTCTTCGACGCCTATGGCAATAGTCCTTCTTTCTTGATGCGAAAAGGAAAGCCGAATTCCCAAAACCCAAAACCCTACACCCTAAAGGTAACCCTAAACCCTAAACCCTAAAGGTAACCCTAAACCCTAAACCCTAAAGGTAACCCTAAACCCTACATCCCAAACCCAAAACCCTAAACCCTAAACCTTAAAGGTAACCCTAAACCCAAAACCCTAAACCCTAAACCTGTTGAACATGGCCCAAGAGTTGCTGCCTTGTTTACGCACCGCGGGCAGGTGTTTCTCAGCATTTACTTGGAGCCCCCAGGTTATTTCTACGGTGGATACTAGAAATCCTGCATGACCCTAAGTACCTTATACCTTGGGAATAATGGTACTATAGTATAGTAAAGTGATGCAGGATTTTTAGTATCAACAGTAGGATTCTGCAGGACGAGCAGAGCCTGTTGTGATTCTCGAAGGGCGTCACCCCCACGCATTCCCAACACACAGTTGTTTTCCAACTGCACATGCCGATGCTTGTGCATAAACCTGGGACAGCGCATGTCCTGGCTCAGGAATGGAAAAAAGTACAGCTCTGAGAGCAAACCCCCGACTCCCTAAGGGCCCGAAGCATACATCATTCTATTTTGGTTTGGTACTATATGGTTATAGCCGTTTCCTTTCGGTGCATGCTCTCTTCATGGTCAGTGAGAGACGTCCCATCATATACCCATTTTGTATGCAGACTCCTACGAAAAGCAGAGCCCCTGAGGAAGGCCCCTAAACCCTAAACCCTAAACACTTCTGAAAAGGTCCCAACCAACCAAGTCGCGATGCCACCTGCAAATGGCTCCTGGGACTTTCCCCTCAGCCGGGCAGAGAAGTCAAGGTCTCAGCCTCCCCATGAAAGGATGGTGGCTACTACTGCTTTTATCTTTACTATTATTACTATTAGTGCCAGTATTACTATTTTTAAATGAAGGGATGGTGGAGTTTTTCAAAACTACAATTGCTACTATTGCTATTATCTTTATTATTATTACTATTCGTGCCACTATTACTAGTATTACTTTTACTACTATTGAAACGGGCCTCTGCTAAAGAAGGAACCCCACCTCATGATCTGCAGATGTCCTTGGTTGAACAGCCCTATGGTAGTAACGAGGAAGAGTCCGAGCAACAACCCTCTGAGGTCAGAGCAGTAGATTGTGATTATTCCGGGCTTTGCGCTGCGGGCTAGCATCTGCTTGCTCAATACAATGGATGCGTGGTTTCACCATCTTGGGCTTTTACAGGGTTGAT